GTTAAAACAGGGCAATGCATGGCAGTTAAGCAAAGCATAAAATTATGTCAGTTTTTAAAATCTAAGACAATAATGGAATTAGTTGATGGGATTGACTATGATGGACCTTTAATTTGTTTCTTCTTCCTTCTCCAGAAGAAAAACACCAAAAAGATGAAAATTAAGATTGATGTTGAAAGAATTCCAGCAATTAGTCCCGTGAAATTCTGATCTTGCCGGATCAGCACTTTTCCGATAACTGTTGACAAAACTTCTTGCTTCCACTGAAATAACAAGGAAAAAAATAGTGTAATGATTTCCAAAGACAAGTTAGAACTAGATTATTAGTACTAAAGTATGAGCTGATATGTCTCATATGTATTAAATCTTGATTTTGTGATGCTGTACTGCAATAAGATCCTGTGAGGGGAGAAATTGTTATATTGGTGTATAGGAAAATAGACCTTCAAGACATCTGGTAGTGACACAGCTCTATATTTTATACACTGCACACACAGCATGCACTCACATGCACTCTGGGTAACAGGGTTCCACTGTTACCAGATGCTAATTCAAAATGTAAAATTCATACTTTTACTCATATGGTGCACGGAATGGGCCTATGGCTATATGGGCTGATATGTACATTAATAAAATAGTCCAACTGTCTTTAATGTGTGTCCTTCTGGCATAAATATACTGTAACATCAAGCTAACTCTCTTGTTGACAGCATGCTTGCATTTTAGTTCCCAAGGTCACGTGAGCCTGTCCCTTGCCAGCTTCTAGCTTGCTGACAGTTTAAAGAAACAAAACTAAATGAAAACACCAACCTCCAAAACCAACAACCAAACAAGCAGCAAGCAGCTAACAGGGAAAAACTGTTTTAGGTCACACAGCACTAGCTCAGTCAGTTGGAATGCATTTGGCCATCTTTTCTCTTCCTCCTGTGGAATTCATCCCTCTGGGTACTGTAATGATGGATTTGCCCGTCAAAAGAGCAAATTTTCTTCTTCGCTGGGCAGACTACAATTTCTGAGTCTCCTTGCCAGTAAACAAGTAGAAACCTTGTTTAACCCCTTTATGTTTTGTTCTTTTCTGTGCATGAAACATGTCACACATATCTGTTTCTTAGAAGCTAAGGAAATATCACAGAGTAGAACTAATTGAATGCAATGTTGGATATGTAAAAATACAACACATTAACTGAATGTAACCTGTGCACAAGTATTATATGAAAATAGGCACTTAGAAATCTGGGAGACCTACACCAAAAGGAGAGCTGCATCTAATTTTATAGTTTGCCTGATATATCCCAGAAAATGAATACTTACTTTTAAAAAGAAATTAATATTAAAATAAATTACTAGTTACCATAATAATAAGTCAAATTAATTATTACTATTTACTTAGATTGCAGTAGCACATAGGAATATCATTCACAGCCCAGGAGCCTGTGAGAGTAATGTCTTAAAGACACAGAAAAAAATAGATGTCCTTGCTTCAAAGAGCTTACGTAGACTTTGATCCTAACCCAACTTACATGACCAGCAAAATCTCCACTGTTTTCCATGAATCAGAGTGCAGTTTCATAATTTAAAGGTAATCCCATTCCAATTTCATTTTTTATATCTTTAAAAAAATAAAAATGTATTGAAAGATTTATGTCTTATTCTATAAATTAGCATGTCTATAATTTAAATTTGCAGTAGCACACTGAATGACTTTAATGAGACCAACTTTAAAGCAATGACTCAACCATTTGTCCCAAGTGTCTTCTTCTTACAAAAATAATTGAAATGAAATTATAAAATGCAGACAAAAAAAAAAAAAAAATTATTCAGGAAAGATTTAATCCTCTTGACTGCAGCAGTTTTTGAAAAAAGGGCTTGTAAGTTCCAAACTAAAAGTACTCCATTATAGCTTCTCATTCTTCCCTACATGTTTCCTCTTGTGTTTGGATTAATAACTATAATTTTATTTCTATGCTTAGTTCAGGTCCTACTTTGTGCCTAAGGCTCCAGAAACTTTCTGTACAAACAAGTACTAACAACAATGATGAACATATTTATTTTAAAATAGCTGATATTATTTGAATTTCCATCCCAAACAAAAAGGGATAGAGATATCTCTCTAAGCACGGGTTTAGGCTTAAATTTTATTTAGGCTTAAAGTTTATTGGTTCAATAGTGACGCTGTGAATAATAATAAAAATGGCATTAATATCTCATGTGTGGTATAGTTGCCTCACCTCTATATTTAGCTCACTGTTGGATTTCAGGAGATCACTGGGAACCGTACACAGAATTGATTCTGACTGTAGGAGAAGGTTTTCACAGCTTTTGTTTCCAACTTTTAGGACTTCACCTTTAACAGCTTCTGAATCAATATAATTTCCCTTGGAAAAAAAAAATCAATTTCGTATTACATAACCATCTCATAAAAGTGAAATAGTTACAAGCCTGGAAAATATTTTTAATGAAAAATAAATTGTGAAATAAAAGACTAATGAGAATTTACACTGTTTGTCAATATGCATGTATAGGCTTATTTCATGTAAATGCGACTTTGACAGAGGAGCCAGAGTAGGATGGTAAACTTTACAGATAAAATCTGCTGTCACTCATACAGCTCATACAGACTTCTGAAATTTTAAATGTCTGAGGGATTAATCCTGTTAGTCCTGTTTAGATTTTTGCATAATTTGTTCACGAAAGGACACATTATGTAATGCTGTTGTTTACACAAAACTGGCATCATATTATCCACAAGCTAAAGGCATCTCAAACATTTTGTTTTGCAAGTGGTTATGGTAGCAGAAATGAAGCTTTCAACAAGAAGTAGTTAATTAAAATAATACACAAGTCTGTTAAAATCATGTCCACAGACCAAAAAGGAAAAACACCTTGGTTAAGAGGAGGCATCAAAAGCACACTTCTTACCCAGAAAACCTGCTCACATCCCAGACGTGGATGAAAAATTATTGCTTCTGATATTGTGACAGTAGAATCCAAAGGCCAAGTTTAGGATCTTTTGTGCTCAGGAGTGCATCTCTATTTAAGAGCTGCCCTAACCCATGTACAGCCCAGCTCAAGATGAAAGAAGAGGCATATTAAGTGGGATCAAAGGGGAGAAAGGAGTATAGGACTAATAGAGGCTATTTATATGGGGTGGATCTGGGAGTTTCCCATGAGAAGGGGGGAAGGCATCTCAGCTGACACCACTGTGAAGACTTGTATATTGGAAAGAAAACAAGAATCCCATTCTGAGGGGCAAAAAATAATCTTACTTTGGCATATGTTTTAAATCTGCTTCAGAATGAGACTGAATTCTGGGAAAATTGTAATAAACGTATAGGAAAGCCAGCTTAATGTCATACTTGAATGGCAAAGCCACACCCCAGGTAAATGCTTTTTAATTGCTGGCCATAAAAATCCATTTTGCACTCTATCTTCTGTCTAGTCAAAGCCATTCTGTTTGGTGTTAAGTAATAAAATATTCCTGGGCCAGGGAGTATATGAATGCTTATTGCTTTTTTGTTTGGAGACTTGTGGCAGGTTGTGAGCCATTCATGTTCAAAACTTTCCTCTGAATGATACACCTCAAAAGACTTGAATTTAATTCTTCCATCTTCTGGATAAATATATGTCGTGGTTTGACATGGAAAAAGAATTTTTCCGGAAGGAAGAGGTCAATTTGGACATTGACCAATTGAAGGTAGACACGCCTCTGAGAACACAGAGGGGTTAAAAGCAGAATTCCCAGGAAAACTTGCTCTCTTGGGTTCCGGTCAGCGGTCAGTGCAGGGCAGGGGAGAGTCTGGAGAGTGTGGCTGAGTGGTCTCATCTTCTACACCAAAGCCTAGAATTTTTCTCCACCAAAACTGATGGAAAAATGGAAAAAAAAAAAAATATCCTACTGATTTTTCCCAAGGTGGTTTTTAGCCAGTTATAAAGATGGTGTCTTTTACCTACTACTATGACCATTATGTTACCATTAATATATCGATTATAGATTCAAATATATTCACTATGATATCTAATTGTATTCAGACTTTCAAAATGCTTTCAGCAGTGGTTTTGCTCTTCTCGGGACAACAGAATTTGCCTACAATTTTAAGAAAAGGAGGAAACTGGCTACTGTGAGAACTGGAAAAAAATATTTCCACTTTTCAAATGTGTATTACACCCTTCTTGGTGAGCAATGCCCTTGAATGCAAGCTGGAGAAGTTAATTTTCAAGCTGTACTGGGTAGCTGTTGCAACCCAATCTGATAGCACAGCCACCTCACAACTTTTAGAGAGATGGGAATAACTTGGGTAAAATTCTAAAAGCAGCAGAAAACAGTTAACAAAGATGTGGAAATTCTGAGACTTGTGTCAGAAGCATTTTTGAGGCTCCTAAACAAAGTGAGCAGGTTGACTTGAGAAGAATGAGGAATTACTGCAGCTGCAGAGGTTTCTCTTCAGCTTTCTCAAAAATATGACAGTTTCCATATTGCTCTTTTGGACCAGGTTTTGAGAGTAGCAATTTCCTATGTGATGTGAAAGAAGACTGTCAAGAGAGTGACCTATAAGGAGGCAAGAAGATTTCCTTACCATTGTCTCATAAAGAACGTGTTGCACTGGCTTAAGAATAGAGTAGGCAATATAGTAAGTCTTGTCCTACACTGAGTTTTAAGACAGAAGTGCCAGAGCACAGCCAAGATCTCAGCTGTGCATGCCAGCTTTTACACATTGAATTACAACTGTGCTATGCATTTTTCTAGTGGAAGATTTGTATTTGTAAATATACTTTAGTTTCTGGTGGCCCATGCCTAGGCCTCCTCTGGAACAATGCACAGAGTCCCTGGACCATATTAGTGCACAATGACAACCCCAGAACAGACCAGGGTTCTGGGCTAACAGAAGAAAGATGCTTTTCTTATTTATTTGTTGCTTAGGGTTTTTCTTTTTTTGTGTGTGTGTGTTTTGGGAGGAGTTTGATTTTTGCTTGTTGGTTTGTTTGTTTGTTTGTTTTCACAGCTAGGATGCTCTCGGCTGTCAGCAGCCCAGCTTGCAGGTCTGGATCAGTGGTTTTTGGAGGAGGCAGCAAGTGGACTCTGTATTTTTCAGCAGACTCGGCAGTGAAACACAAGAATTTCTCCTGCCCTGACAGCTTTCCATGTTGGCAGGATATGGGAGGCCTTCTGAAGGGGTGTCATAACGGTGTTGAAGCAGAGAGTTGTCTGGTACCATTCTGTCATGACCCCTCTGACTGACACATGGTGGGCACCAAGAGACTTCAAAAAGCCAGAAAGTTGGCAGTGGAAGACTGAAGACAGAGAAGTGATGATGTGGGATGTTGGGAGGCTGGCGGTGAAGACAAGGAGGACTGGCATTTGTGGCACACAGTGTCCTGACAGTGTTTTAAATAGAAAACCTAATGTTTTCTTGTGTATAACATTTTCTTACAAAAACATCTTGTGGTCATGAGGGGAAACCAAACAGAACATTTCAATCGGTACCCACTGTCATTTGACGAAAGCCAAATATGTCACACCAGATTAGTTAGATTGAAAAACTTGTGATAAAGGCTCCCTGCGCCCCTCTGAAACTAATTAAGAAAGAGATAAAAGAACTTTGGTTTGGTAGAACAGACTGTTCACTGAAGCAAGCTGCCATTTAATTTCATGCTGAGCTTGCTTAATTACTCCACAAAATATGATCATGAGGGATGAAGCATGTAAACTTGTGTGTGTATTTTTGAATGTGGGTACAGGCGAGGGAAAAGTATTGCCAATATGGCTTGTAATGCTCTTTTGGCTCCTGACTATAATTTATGAAAGTGGTCTCACAGTTTTGATAGAAGCACCCCACTATAACTAATTCTATTTAGAGGAAGATGCTAAATTGGTGCCTGTTCATGCTTTGTTCTAGCAGCCCACCTTTCATTAATGCTGTTCTCCAGCTGGTTGTCAGGAAATAACCAGGACATTAGGCTTAGGGAGACATCTGCCTTGGGTGCCATCACCACAGGTCAATACTACAAAATTGTGACTTTGGTCAGTTGTCACTATGACAATCCTCAGTCAGCCTTTCTTATCTAAATGTTTTTTTTTTCCCAGCAATAAACACACCAGAGATTTCTTCAGGGAGAATAAAAGAGTAAGCAAAGTAGAGAGTTAAAAAAACCAACTAATTTTTGACCCTCTGTGTCTCTGAAGATTATAGAAAAAGTCCTCATGGACGCACTTCCAGGCAGAGGAAAGACAAGAACACAACTGGGAACAGCCAGCACAGGTTTCCCAAGAGTGTATTTTGCCTGTCCAACCTTCTAGGTGGACAGGACTGGCTCTCTAGATGAAAGGAGAGCATTGGACAAGCGGCCTTGGTTTTAGCAAGTTTTGCAGCAGAATCTCTCCTGGCAACGAAAAAAAACTTAGGATGGTATGGACTGGATGGATGATATAGAAAATGAGTGAAAAATAGATTGGACAGAGATCAAATCTTTATTTGTCAATGGCTGATAGCGGAACCAATACTGCTTAAAATATTTTGAGAGCTTGGACAAAGGGATAGGATGCACTGTCTTTGAGCTTTCAGATGATATCAGACTTAATAAAATTACTGATATGCTGGACCATAATGTGAAATGAGACAGCAGGATGCCACTTTAGTGATGAAGGCTCAGCACACATTTTAGCAGCAGCCAAGCCAATAGATTGAAGGTGATTGTTCTACTCTGGTCAGTACTTGTGGAGTTGAATTGTGAGAATTGTATCAAGTTTTGAACCCCACAGAAAGAGAGGTAATATAAACTGTAAGAAGTACAGAAGAGGGTCACTGAGCTAGGAGGGTAACTCAAGCATAAGATAGACCATGCAAGGCTAGTGGAGCTGAGTATTTTAAAGCTGTAGAATCTCCATTCTTGGAGATTTTCAAAACTCATTTACACAAAGCCATAGGCAGCCTGACCTAATTTTTAATTTAGCCCTATTTTGAGCAATGGGGTTAGACTATGAAGACCTCCAGAGGTTCCTTCCAATCTACATTATTCTGAATTTCTTCCCAAATTAGTCCTCTTTCCAACTGGTTGATATGCATGACTTGGAAAATACTGGAAAACACTGCTGTCATTGCACAGAGGCAGTGAGCCATGCAGCAGCTATATATTCCCAGATCTGTTGACCTGCACACAAGAACTCTTTTTAGTGTTTCTCCATAACTGAGCAAGAGATTTGCTCTGCATCGAGGAAGAAGTGATTGTATGGCTAAGAGCTCCAAGTAGAAAAAAACAATGTAAAAAGTAAAAATCAGACCAATTACTCTTTGGCATTTGCCTAAAACACTTTGCAGAGATGGATTAATATGCAGAGCTTGTCTGGAACTCAGCATGGCTGACAGGAGCTCTGAAGTAATCCTTCTGATGTCTTGCAGCCCAGAAGTTGGCCCACTGGACCATGTTGGAGTCAAAGACTTTAGGGCTTCAAGATTCATTGCAATGGGAGAAAAGTTTTGGCTTACAGAGCTATGCAGGAGTGACACAAAAAAATTACCTGAGCATTAAGACTGATTATCTTCCATAAAAAAATTTTATCAATTATATTTTATAGAAATTATATTTATATATATATATTTACATTGATATCTATGTAAATAACATATAAATTCCAATAAATTTTCATAAGCATTCAGTGTAAAGTAGAAATATCCATATTTATGCCTTTTCTATTTAATACTCAAAAAAAACCCTAGACTTCAAGAAATTGAACTCTCACAAAATGGATTTGACTTTCTCCACAGCACTGTAGTAGACAGCGACCTGTGCTATTGAGGACCCCAAATTCCTAAGAGATGCTTCTCAGTGCTATGTAGGTTACTCTCAGTGCACTTTGAAGAGGCATTCAGCATCAACTTTGCATTTCTCATGGATCCATAAATATTTAGGCTACAGCAGTGACTGATCCTCATGAGTGACTTTGTGCACAGGCCAGGGTTTCCCTCAACTCAAGAGAACTGAGGAAGCCAGACCACATCTTTTGTGAGGAAGGACACATAACCATGTGACAGTAAGAGCCAGGGCTCCCGCACAGACCACATGCTTCATGTTCTGGGCTGCTGGCCACGTCTAATCCTGAACTGGTGCTGCAGCTTACTGCAATCAAAAGCTGATGCAGCGCGGTCCTCCCATGAGGACAAGGAAAGCCCCTCTCCCACTCCACCTGATGACAACAACCACCCTGGTACATGTATCTTTGTTTTTAGCTCTTCGTCTTTTAAATGGTGACAACCAGGCTCGGGTGAATGCAGTACTGAACACAGTGCTCCCTCTGCCCTCGCTTCCTCGGGGCTTTCTTTATTTCATCAAAACGTCTGTTCCACGCTGTGCTGCTGATGTGCACTTGCAAATAATTGAAAAACTTATTTCAGCATTTCTTACCTTAATTTCCAGAACATTTTGGTTGCCTCTTGAGATGAACACTGTCTTTTCAAAATGCTTAAATACAGGATTATTTACGTAATCAAAATCAAAGTACAGGGAGCTGACACCATCAAAAATAAAGAACACTTTGGTCACAAAGGGTGGTTGGAGATTGAAATCTTTCAGTGAAGGTGTTGTACAGCAGATTATCTCTGAGCTAGAGCGGTGGCTACATGCCTATAAGAAAAAAAAAAAGGTAATTGCAGTATATATCATGCAGAGGAACTCACTGATTAATGCAACTTTCTTTAACAATACACATATATTGAGAAAATAAACACCAAGGGTCTTGTTCTTCTTTAACCAAAGCAAAATCCTGATCAGTGCTACACAGCATTTGTGTAGAGCTGGGAGAAAAGTATAAAAACTTCATGTCAATGATGTTTGCACTCTGGTTGAGGAAATGTTCAAGTAAACAAGCTTCCTGGCCTTATTGTTCACAGCACTTTTAAAGTAAATATTTTGCAGATAATTAAGGGAAAATTATTTCCAAAGCCAAGGACCATCAGGAGCCTAGCCTGGTGTACTGAGCAGCTGTAGTTCAGGTTACCCAGCCTGTCACAGTGACTGCAACATGGATTTATCTTTCTTTTTCACTACCAAAGCAATAGTAAGGGACCAGAGGACAAGGTAAAAGCCAACAATACTAACTGGAAGTGTGGAAAACAGAAGTGAAGCACTGTTTACCCACAGTGCAGCTAATGTTTCCAGAAAGGTACTGTGGACTCTGTAAGAAAGGGCTTTAGAGCCAAAGGCACTGTGGATTCTAGGTCACAAAAGCTCAGCAAAGTGTATCTTCTTTCTAAAAATGTATATTTAAGGTCCCAGATGTGTGGCACTTGGTGCGGAGGTACACAGTCATGCAAGCTCCTGCTGAGAGTGTTGCCTGAGACGTGCTTTGCACTGTATCTCGGACCAGCAGGGATAAGGTGTTTCCTTCACTGTAGTGCAGGAGCTGCCTGACAACAGGCACGAAGCCACACCTGCACCTCACTCTGCCACTACTCCTCAGGACAGCCTGCAATGGGGGAAAGCTGCTGGTGCACCCCATGATCAGAAGACTCTCCAGAGGATGCTCTGTGCTATGGGAATGTGATCCAGTACAAAATGCAGGACTTGGCTGAACTGCCTTTGCAGTTGACAGAGGGACAACAGTTCATCTAGAATGGGTTTCATATGATCCACTTTAGACAACAATCTAATCTTTAATTAGATTAATGGTGCTCTAGAAGAGTCAATTTTGTCTAGACTGTGAAGGTTTCTACAGGAGTACTTTGCTTATAATGTCAGCAGCACATCTACAAGCACCAGTGGGAGGCACAGTGCGTGCTGGACTGCACCACACAAACTGCAGAGTGGTTGTTTGTCACTGTACTGTGTACCCCCTTCCCTGTGCCTGCCTTTCATGCTGCCTACCAACGATACAGTTGAAGGACTTCTGGCACAGAGTTGCTTCAGCTCCACAGATGTATTTCTCTTCCAACTCTACAAATCTCCTGTAAGTAGTCCCTTGTGCACTGTGCCCTGAGAGCAGATCAACCTTTTTGGTTTTTTACATATATAAAGGAGTGTATTTGATGTGTGTCCCAGAAAGAATGGGGCTAAGCTCCTCGATCTACAAGAGATTACCTTGGAAGATCAACAATGCTCTTGAATACCTTTGTGCATCCAGAGAAGGCCAAAATACATATTTTTTTGTTTTGATTTGCAAAATAGATTTGTTGTCATTATCAAATGATGCCTGAATAAGCTTTGAAATTAGTTTAAATTAATGCAACGTAATTTTGCTGTTTCAAATCAGTGACATAACCACTCAGGCTGTATCAGCTATATAGCCACATTAGCTTGAAAAGTGGGATTAAATTAGCTATCTGAAAATCAGGGCTTTTTGTTATCACTAAAGCAATTCATGTTTGTGTGAATAATATTGTGAAATCTTGAATCTGCCAAGGGAAACATTGTCAACATTCTAAGCATTATGGTTTTAGAACTCCTATGTGTCTGTGAGCTATGAGTTCGGCGCTCAGTTAAATAACTTGGTGGAGATCTCTGTGATGCTAACGGGACTTGCACCTGTGTGTCCAACGGCCCATTTATATTTCTAGCAGAAATTCAGAAATATTTGTTTAACCTCCATGTCAACAAGGTAAACTGTGGGACACAAGGCAGATTTTTGGTGCATTTGCTTACAGTATCAGATTGTTCTTTTGAATACGTGGTTATACACCACTAAACATATCTCAGGCTTTGTTCTATCACATAGATCTAGAAATAAATTTCAATTAGTATGGAAATAATAAGATGCATCATTAGTATAATGGATGATCAAGCCATACTTTTCCATGATGTATGAATATTCATTAAGATATCTATCATATTGTGTCAATTCTTAAAAAGGATTACTAAAATATATATAATTATAAACCCAAGTATGTCCCAAGTAATCATTATATTTATTTGATTAATGTAAATTCATTAGACTCTTTATCTACTGTAGAGTAGTGATGTCCATTAAATGAATAGCAGTGGTATTCATAACTTTGTTTGTGGCTATCTATTAGAATCAGATACTTTACTTTATCAGACTGGTCTCTGAAGCAGAAGCTTTCAGAAAATGATAAAAATCTAATAATACTCTTTGGAGGGGATGCAATGTGACTGATTGGTAAGGTCAAGAAAAATCTTATTTGCAATGCCCTTATTGGTGCACGATTTGACATGACATTTTTACCTTGAAATTTGTTTTAGCAATTGAAGAATATGATGGTTTAGTTTTCAAGAAATATTGGATTGAGGATCTCCAAGAAAACCCCCCTAATTCAATCTATTGCCTTCTCAATTAAGATACTGCCTATCACCCAGCACCTTTCACTTTTATTTAATTAAACTTTAAAGTACATTCACTTTAAAAGCTAAGCCTACATTTTTCTTGTGACAATAATCTACATCTGAAGACAAAGAGGAAGAAAAAATATAAAAATTATGGAGCATTTCACAAGCATAAGTAAATGCTATACCCCAAAGGGAATAATAATCCATTGCACAATGCATATGACTCATCACTTAAGGTATGTATTCTTGTTCCATTTGCAAAATATGACCCTTGAGGCAATTAATTTAAGCCTGACCTACAGAACCTGAACTTCAGTGCCCAATTCAATTCTTTTTCATCTGATAGAACAATAGGAAAAGTATGAGGGAGGATCTCTAAGTTCCAGAGGTCTCCCAGCAGCTGACCCAGATTAGAGAGGGGCAGTTGGATGTGTATTACAGGATCTGCAGCTGTCAGAAAGGAGAAAAGGGCCAATTTGTTCTTTCATAAAAAGTAAACTTTTGGAGTTCCAGTGGAGAATGAAAGATGAATGAGGCTAAAGACAGACCTGGAGACTCTCCAACCATCCTTGCCAAAGGATGATTTCTCAATAGAAAAAGAAAAAAATACAGGTCCAACATGAAGAGAAACCCATTCAGAAGACTTTTTTGTGTAAAGCAGTGACACTCAAGCAGCATATCCTGAGGGTTTTCCAGCAAACTCATTGCCTTTTGCTGCCATTTCAGGTGGTACAAGGAGTGATCCTGATGAATTGGTAGCCTTTTTATTTTAGTTTTCTTCTTGGATTAAGGCATGAGAGATCATACTTCTAGTCTATCAGATCATCACACCAGAAGATAGAGTAAAATGTCTCTTGCTCTTGGGTCTGAGAGCAAGCCCTTTGCACAACATGATCAATACTGACTGGAAGTCCAAATTCCTCCTTGGGCTTGGATGGTCAATGTATCTTGTCACACTGGAACCCTGGTGATTTCCCACACTGGCTTTCCCTTGACATACCCTGCTGTACCCTTGGCAGGAGATGTGCATGAGCTCAGATTTGGCACACAGAGAAAGATGAATTTTCCCCTTCACTTCACTAGGCTTCTGTGGCAGCTTTGTGCCATGAAGTCAAGAGAGATAGAGGATCCAAGCCTAGGTGTCTTCAGTTAGGGAATCATGAATATCTTCAATAATCACACACTCACTACCACACTTTATAGGGAATTTGTTTCATCATTATTTAATACACCTAAGGTGGACACTCATTGCTGAATTCTAGGCATCTTGATGAATATGAGTATGGATTGCTTACAGACTTGTAACTATTGAACAAACTTTACAGCCTCTTAAAATTCTCCTGTAAAACAGCAGGAAATGGCACCTGGCAGGGAGAAATTACAAAATGCT